TTTGATCAGAGTAAAGCCCACACACCTTATAACCCTCACTTTTTTTTTTTTTTTTTTTTCGTAAAAAGAGTTGGTATTTTGCTTTTGAATCTAAATAAATCCTTCATTTGGCAGTAATTTACAATCGCCTGATGAGATACATTGATACGGATTGAAACACGACTGCAATTTGCGATTTTAGAGATTTTGAGATATATTTTATATATAATATATATATATATATATATATATATATATATTCTTGAAAACTTATTTACGGTCAAGTCATGTGACACGTTCACCTATCAAACATCTGTGATTTGCGTTTATACAAAAAAATTCTAATATAGTGAATTGCATAAAGGTATGTTGTGTTATGCATATTTAAATCTCTATATATAAAGTTATAGCCTCAGTCTGTCTGTTATCGAACACCTCCTAGGGCTTGGAGAGAGCCCTCTACCCCATAATCATATATATTCTGAAACAACATTAGCCAAGGTACTTGGATATGTATATTTCGTTTTGATTAAAGGGGGTCCCCGGGGTTGGGCAAAAACTCCACACTGATTTTTTTTCTTTGATTTAAATTAAATTTATATTGAACAAAGGAATGACTTCTATTCAAAATAGAGAAAGCCAGCAGATAGAAGTCATATCAGCAAGATCAAAATGGGACAATATGGACGTCAAGTTGAGTAAGAACTCACCAATCAGTGGGTAGTCACTTATAATATAAATTTGTTGCGACAATTCAACTGTCATATCAATGTTGAAATCTGCTCATCCATTCATTCAATCAAGTATTGCATCAAATACATATCAAAGAGTGCAGATAAAGCTGTTTTTGCACAAACCACCTACTGATTTTTCCCCTTTGATTTAAATTAAATTTAAATTTGAAAAAGGGAATGGTTCCTATCCAAAATATAGAAGGAGAAATCCAGAAGATGAAGGTTAACATCGGCAAGATCATTGAATAATATTAAAACGCATCATTTTTTTTTCCACAAACTATAAAAAAGATTTAAAATCAATCAGCATTTTATTACAAAAACTGTGTGATACGCAGCAAGGTGCTACTAATTCGGCTGGTTTATTTAATAACTAGCAGCATGGCCCGGCGTTGCCCGTGCTTGATTAAAAATCGTACGATTCATACAGCAATCGCTATCACTTGACTTAAAATATTTTTGCCCTTCCTTGCCTTTAAATGAGTGCCCTTTGCCGTGCTGATGTTGCTACATGCCTTACTTCTTGCCTATCTCACACTGCGAATTTTTTTCTAAGCTCTATACTAAACATTAAATCTGTTACAAAAAAAGAACTAAACAAAATGAACACAAAACGATCAACTTTAAAAAAGGACTCGTAACTGGAAAAACCAAATGAAAAAAGAATGTTAACAACAAATACTTTTTCACCTCCAACCCAGTTCTGCAGAATCAGAATCAACGTTGTTTTTAAGCAAGCGAATGAGCCAATTGGAGTAAAGTGCCATGCAGATTTAAATTTTTTCCCACTTTTGACGAATGCAGCTATCGATTTGTTTTTTTTGTTTTTTTTGTTTTTTGCGTGCTAGGATGCTAGTTAACATTCGTGTCAGTCAGCTGTTGGCTCTCACGCTGGCCAATAGAATCTTCCTGCCTATTCGTGGCAGCCAGCTATAGGCTCTCACTTTGGCCAGTAGAAAATGGCCGCAAACTACATGAAAACTGCCGTAAAAGCATTAAAAAATCAATTATTTCCACTATTGATGGGAGTTGGAAAATGCACAGTCAGTCTTTGCCTTGCCGCTAACTTGGAGCATGTGCATGTCAATTTTGGTGCAAATCCGTCGAACATTGCGGCCGTGCATTCGTTACACACACACACACACATCCTGCCTTTTATAGATAGAGATGTTGGTTTGATGTATGATATAAGGTTAACGGATTGAGTTATTAGGGAGCCGAGATCGGATTCCAGTCGAGATCATTACGCGCTAATACCTTGAAAAAGGTATGAATTCATCTCTTCTCTCCCCCCAATCCCTTCCCCCGCCATGGGTAACATATCAGGGTATAGAAGAAATTCTGACTTCAAACCGAATCGCACTAACCTAAACGTGTGTCTACATGGGGCTGGGGACCGCTTGTGAACCAAAATTGCCACTGAAACTCCTAGTATTTGCATGGCTGAATAAATATAACCTCTGCTACGTATGGTCAGCTTTCGCTGGGATGCGGCGTCTAAAGGAGCCCAATGTTCCATAGGGAACTAACTATAAATATATATATATTATTATTCACGCATATAATAGTTGGAATAAAGTGTTACTGAAATACAGAATTTCCAATTAAAAATACCAGTAAAACAACCCGTAACTCAAGAATTCCTTGTAAAATCTTCATGAAATTTGTCACTGCACTCAACAGGGATTCAAAGTACAATTTTCTCCTAGATTGGTTGGAGTCTTTTGTACCGTTTAAGCTGTATCTTAGGAACACACATACATGCCAGAGTAGAGTTTATATACACCTTTCTGTAAATTAATTGAAACAACCGCTTTAGTTTCCTTTCTTTCAACATACAGTCAGTTGGAGTGACACGGTGCAAACTATTTCTATTTTTTCCTCAGATTAGGTTATTTGCAGTTGCGTGCAGTAATATGAATCTATTTTCTGTGTGTATGATGAAATTTGTTTGGCCTTGAAATATATTGCATCATCCGTGATGGCATTAGATTTTTATCACGCCCAGACACTACTGTCTCGACTGTCGATTAGTTGTCCTACAGCTATTGTCTGCGATGGATGTTATTCCAAGGAAGCGTAGGAATATTGAAACGCTGCACGAACACACTGGCAAGATATAACAATGAGCAAATCAAAGTTGTATAGACTGGCCCCGAAACCCTCCTGATTTAAATCCAACCGAGAATCTGTGGTTAGTCTGCCAGGGATGGACATACTAAGTACTAACGTGTGCAGTGGCCATGTTTCATTGAAAAAATATGAAAATAAATAAAAAAATAACGTAATTATTCATTTTGTTTCAATTAATTTGCACAAAGGTGTGTGTGTGTATATATATATATATATATACACACACACACACACACACATACACACACACACACATATATATATATATATATATATATATATATATATATATATATATATATGAATAATTGCTTGTTTGATAGTGGGTGGTGGAACGAATCTCCAACAGAGATAAATAAATAGATTTATTTCCGGCAGTGGAGCAGGTGATTGTCCTATCTGACTTATGCGTAGGTCGTGATAAATAAGGTAAAGGTAGGAAAACAGCTTGTGGAAAAACATGGCAATTATTTTAAAATTAATAGGCAAAATTAGTTAGAAAGATTATTATACAATATCGGTGCCCGTATATGGCAGTGAATGCTGGATAATCTCCTCGCAGATGAAGAAAAGAGTTGAGGCAATAGAATTGTGGTTCTACAGAAGGATGCTGAAAATACTATGGACTGAAATTGTGAACAATGACGAAAAATGGAAAGAAAAAGAACATACTTTATATCAGAAAGATAGTTGTAATTGCTAGGGCCAACAATGAGGGGAAACAAGCTTGGAAACTTTGAAAGTTATAGGATATATTGAAAGCAAAAGCGACAGAGGAAAACAGTGTATAACCTGCCCAATGAGCTTGGGTAAATGGTTGGAAGAACAGGGATTAGGAGAGATAACAAAAAGACGAATTTAACTAAGAGCTACAAAGGACAGGAAATTATGGAGAGCCATAGTCGTCAACGTCTTGAAGTGACATAATAATAATAATAATAATAATAACAAACAAAAATGTCCCTCCTTACTGATATGGCAGTCCCTGCGGACTGCAATTTGTCTTTGAAGATCTTCAAGAAGCTATCAAAATGCAAGGACCTTGAAATCGAATCTCACATGGGAACATCAACTATCCCTTTGGTACGTGGAGCCCTCGAATTGGTTGGAAAAGATTCCAGTAGACTAATTGAAGGGATTCCTGGAAGTCCATACCTTAAAGAAATACAAAAAAAAATTGTTCTCACGAGTACAGCCCAGACCTTACTAAGGGCTTTATCTATGTAAAATATTTTCTTTTTTTTCTTTTTTTTTTTTTTTTTAGTGGAAAATGTCATGATGCCATTTCTAAACTTAGGTTTCTGGGAGGGACCCGGAACAAAATGTGTACACAAAATAATAATGATACTACGAATAATAATAATAGATAACTATAATTGATAACGATATTGACTCAATTACGTCACTGGGCGTAGCGCAGGGCTCAGCAATCTTATCTCGTAAACTAGAACGCACGCACGGGCGCGCACACACACACACACACATATATATATATATATATATATATATACACTACAGTTTAAAAATTTGAGGACATCCCTGGTAATTTTTTAATTGGTACAAAAAGTAGTTGTTTTATATTTCAAATATGAGAAAATTATAACATCTGGTTATAAAAAAAGGGAATTAAGATTTTTATAAGAAATTTTATTATTGCAAAAAGGACAAAGAAACATTTTATGATTAAACTTTGCTCTCGTCAAAATATCCTCCTTTAGCCTTGATTACTGCAGCATAAATTGTTGGTGTTCATTGCAAAAGTTTCTCAAACTTTGATAATTGATTCCATTCTTTTACAATCTAAGAGCCCTTTTTCTTTTTTCACTCTTCTGTCAAGTTCATCCTGTGCTAATTCTAGGGTAGCTTCAAACTTTTGAGATACACTATATATATATATATATATATATATATATATATATATATATATATATATAAATATAGATAACTAGACTCGTTTCGAAAAACCCTCGGATTTTTGATTTGCTAATCAAATCAATCTCGAGGGAAAAAAAGGTTTTAAAAAAGAAAGATTTACAAACATGAACTTCTGCCGACAAAAAAATCGCACAGATGCAGGTCTGAAGCCCAAAGAAAAAACCCCGATACGAGTAACAACTAACTAACAACAGAGCTCAATACAACCGTAGAGCAGACCTAGACTATCTATATAGATAGATAGATAGATAGATAGATAGATAGATAGATAGATATGTGTGTGTATAATAAAATGTTCGCTTCTCTTGTCATTACCTTGAGTTTCGCGAAAATTCCATCTACTCGTCAGTAGACTTGTTACAATCAAATCGCCTGACAAGTGAGTGTAATTGAAAGTATGAACAAAATGAGTGAACCTTAAATTGTTCATTAATATTAATGCACTACTTTTTAATATGGAACCCTAATAATTACAAGAAAATGCTTGCTTAGAAAGGTTATCTTCCAGATAATCTTTGGTGGCGTCTTTTCATTTTACGAAACATTACATATATATATATATACATGTGTGTGTGTGTGTGTGCGTGTGTGTGCGTGCGTGTTTGTACGTGCGTGCGTAGGATGTATCAAAAATACTTTCACAAACTTTGAGGGTGGGGTCCTCACACCAAAAGAAGGAAAAATATTCCTCATAAATAAAAGGTCCATATATCATTCGTTTTTGAGTTATAAAGTTTAAAGTTTACGGTAGACGTAATGCGCAATCAAAGACATAATCTAAAAATACTTTTACAAACTTTCGGACGGTTTTCCTGATTCTATCTTATATATTCTTCAAACTTAATAACTCAAAAATGAAAGATTTGTGAACATATGTTTATATGGACTTTCGTCCTTGTTTTGGTCTGAGAAACTTATATCTATCTATCCATCTATCTGTCTCTCTCTCTCTCTCTCTCTCTCTCTCTATATATATATATATATATATATATATATATATATATATATATATATATATATATATACGCAGGGTGTCCCAAAATAATATATACACTCTTTCAATCGTTATAACTTATTCAATTTATGTATTTTGACTTGTAAATAAGATTAATACAAGAGAAAGAATAAACATTTAAAGAATTTGAGAGTGAAATATGCAAAAAAAAAAAACATAGAAAATTAACTTTAATAAGGTAAAAGTTACTTGGGGCAATGGCAGAATGTTCATATAATGATGAGTTCACATCAAGTCCTCAAACTGGTTGCCGTTCTATTCAATACAATTTTCAGATCTTGGAGAAATAGACCTACAAACATCTAGTATCATTTCCACTGGTATTTAAGCACATTCTTCTTCAATTGCTACTCTCATTTCAGCAATTGCTTCAGGTTTCCTGCTGTAATCTTTTGCCTAGAATATATATATATATATATATATATATATATATATATATATATATATATATATATATATATAAAAAGTGAACATGGAAGTCAACACTTAGAGGCGACAGTCTGTTTCATGCTATATGCAATCGTCAGGCCACATATGCTGTTATTTTTCTCGGCTATTTATATATATACGGGTTAGTGGTGCATTGTGGGTATTCTATTATGGCGGTTATTTTACCGGAAGTCGTTTGTTTATTTATTTGGGTCAAGTTATATTGCTCGTTTTTATTTTTGTTTCTTATTTTATTTATTTATTTACTTATTAACGTAGTAAAAATTTGTTTATATCCCTTATTTAACAGTTTTTTTTTGGTTTGAGAATTTAATTAAAGCTATTTGTTCAATTTTGGAGTTGGTTGTTGTAGTTCATTCTAACTATTATTTTGGCGGGAAGAGTTTTTAATTTGGGATTGGTTTGTCTATTTATTTACTTGGATGAATTTAGGTCAATTTATTTTACTTGTATATTTTCTCTTTTCGGTTTTCGGTTTTAAGCAACATAGTATTTATTTATTTTTTGTTTTTTATTACTGTATTTATTTGTTTTTATTTTATTTTTTCCGTTTTTCATTTTTTAGGTTACGTAGTAAAAATTTATTTTCATGCCTGCATTTTGAGATGAGCTCGGATCTTTTTTATTTAATAATTTATTTTGGTCGGGGAAAGTAATGATAGCTATTTTTTCCTCCAAGCAAAAGTTTTGCAAGTTTTTGATTGGTTGTTGTAGGCTAATGACTTTTTCCTTATCATCCAAGATATTTTTGGTGTGATGTGCGTTTTGTTTTTAATTTCCCAGATATACTTAGAAAGCATTGTACTGTTTGCATATTTACTATTTGTGAAAGATGTTTTGTGTATAATTTCTTTGCTTCCAGGTTCCTTCAGTTACTCCTATGTATACTTTTTTCTTCATTATCTGGTGATTTTATCGTGGCTTGGTATATTACGTTGTTTTGTAAACAATTTCCGTTTAAGGGACATTCGTTCTTTATTCTGCAGTTGCACGTGGGTTTAATTTGTTCGTGTGGTTTGTTGATAATTTTTCCTATTGTGCTTTTTTTATTATTTGTGCCATGCTCTCGGTGCAGCTGTAGCTGATTTTTACTGTGTTTTTGTTGAATATCTTGTGTAAGGTGCTTGATTCTGGGAAGTGTTTGTGTAAGAGTTTGAAGAATATTTTTCCTACGTTTGTTTTTACGTTCTTGCTGTACGGTGGGTTGAACCATATGATATTTCTTCTCCTGTTGGCCTTTTTTGTATTCTGTGGTAAGTATGTGAGTATTGCTGGGATTCCGCTATCTTTTAGGGCAGTTTCATAGTCTTTCTTAGCTTTGTTAAATAAAGATTCATTGGAGGAATTGTCGGAGAGCCTGCGGTTAATCGATTTTGGTATCTGTTTGATTATAGAAGGCGGATGGTTGGAAGATGTGTGTATGTAGAGTGGTTTATCATTATGTTTTCTGTATGGTTTATATGTGCCTTCTCTTAGGTTGAAGGTAACATCTAGAAAATCTACTTCGTTTAGGTTAGTTTTTATATCTATGTAGAATCCGTTATTTTTAAAAATCTTTATTATTGTTTTTCTAGTTTTGTCTGTGTTTTGTTTGTTACAGTTTCTTAAGATTATGAGACCGTCGTCCCTGTAGAGTCCTGTGTCATTTTTGTCTATTATTTTGCTCAGTTCGTGTAGTAAGTAAATGCCTATGATTTCGCATGCCTCTGCACCGTCAAAGCTTCCCATTGTAATGTCAAATATCCCATCTTTCTTTATCCATGCTTCTTCACTGTGGAATAATAATGATTTACGGGAGTGCTTAATGATGTTGATTTCGCTTGGTTTTATTATTATTTGTTCCTGAGCTAAGTTGATGGCCTTTTCTAGCATACGTTCTGTTATGGATGGGTAAAATTCTTTTATGTCTAATTGTAGGAATTGGCAATTTTGTTTGTTATTTATGTTATGGAACTAGTCAATAGTTGTTTTCGTATTTTTCCACTGGTTTACTCCTAATTTCTTTCTAAGTTCAGAATTAATTCTTTCTAGTATTGTTTTACTTATTTTACCTAGTTCGCTTTTGGCTGGGTTTATAAGTCTACATGCAGGATTAGTTTTGAAATTTTCTTCATGATCTTTTAGTGTGATAAAGGCTCGTGCCTTGCTAATACAATTTATTCGGTCATCTAGGTCTAATTTTTGGGCGATTGTTTTAGCTTCCTTATTGATATCGTGTTCTGTTGTTTGGGGTGCCTTTTTGTATGTTTTGGTTATGTTGTTCTTGAGTAATTTATTGTGTGTAGGAGGGCTTAGTTTGTATAAATTTCTCGTTTTGTCAGCAGTGATAAATACACTTGCTGAATTGTTTATTTTAGTTATATCTGCTTTTAGTTTTTTTTTTTTTTTTGGAATGCATCTTGTTTTTTATGGAATTTTATGTTTCTAACTCGAAATCGTCTAATTCTTTTTGTTGTGGTGGGGGCATTTTTTTGTTTTGAAGCCGTATTTTTCCTTCTTAAGTGTGTTGTTATTGTGAAGGTCCCGGTTTAAAAAGTGGACTTTCCATCTCATTCTTTTTAAGAAACTTTCTATTTTTTCAATTAATTTTAGTTTATATATAGTAGGGGATGGGATGGGTATGTTTTTTAGGGAGTAGTCGAGGTTAAATTTTTCCATGTCCATACTGTGTTATAAATGTAGCGAAAATGCTCTACTGTTTACCAGGAGCTGAATTTACACATGCTCTATCTCTGATATTGAGCACTTTATTCCATAAATATAGCATACCTTAAGACTATATTTCTTTATATATATAAATATATATATATGTATATATACTGTGGGGAGAAATTAATGAAGTGAAAGGCATAGAATTGGATTCTGATATTGTTATATAAGTAAAATATGTATAAAATGAATAGTTATACAAGTAGAAAATGTGCCTTCGACACAAGACATTATAAGTTTAGTCATAATTCCTGCAGTCGATATGGTTTTAAACTGTTGCTTGGAGAAGCTGATGATAAAATCTTTCAAACAGATGTGTTCGTTTACACAGTGAATGAAGAAGACGAAGCACACGAATGAATAATAAGCGGACAAGTTCAGTCTACTTCGCCGTTTTAGCAAAAAAGTTACGTGACGTATGTTTGTTTGTGGTGGGATAATCTAATCTCATTAACACACACCCGCGCGCATGCGCACACGCGTATGAATGTATGGAACGTAGGTTAACGTTTCGCGTGGCTACTGAGTCGTGAGTTCGATCCCCACCGCGACTTCCTTACTTGCTCATTTTAATAAATAACTATATATATATATATATAGATACACCTAAAGTAAGCCAGACAAACCTACCTAGGTTTCACCTAAACGGATCGTCAGGGAAAGTTTGGCCAAACTTTCCTGACGATCCGTTTAGGTGAAACCTAGGTAGGTTTGTCTGGCTCACTAGGTGTATCTAGATCTGCTCTACGGTTGTATTGAGCTCTTTTGTTAGTTAGTTGTTACTCGTATCGGGTTTTTTTTCTTTGGGCTTCAGACCTGCATCTGTGCGATTTTTTTTTTGTCGGCAGAAGTCCATGTTTGTAGCTCTTTATATTTTTATAAACCTTTTTTCCCTCGAGATTGATTTGATTAGTTAAAATGAAAAAAATTGAGGGTTTTAATTTTTCAAGACAAAATTCATTAAAATAAACGAGTCTAGTTATCTATATTTATATATATATATATATATATATATATATATATATATATATATATATATATATTATTACTACTACTACTATTCTTAGATTCTTACAACTACTATTTACCATCAGCACTCTCTGTGCATTATATATATATATATATATATA